CTGAGTTCCCATCACTCATGCCCAGCCCTCCTTGACATCTCTAGATCATTCTGGTCACCGTCTCTGCTGGGTCATTACTGCCACCCTGCCAGACATCATCAAGCCCCACCATGCCCAAGCACCCTTTTTATCACAGCAGAGCAGACGGCGGGGCCTCTTCCACCCGGGAGGGTTGGCCCAATCCAGAAGATGGGGACCAGTGACACGAGGCAGGTGCAGCAATCCAGGGCAAGGGTGTGGAGTGGCCGGCCCAGTGATGGTGGGGCTGGATGGAGGCCTCCCTCTTGCTTCCACTGAACCAAATGCTTCCTGCTACCCTGTAGGCCCGCTCTCTCATCTCGCATAGCACACGTCCCCTCACTCCACCATAGCGGTCCGGAGACCACTCACTCTCTCCCTGGTGGCCAGGACACTGTGGTGGGGACCCTGGGGGGAGGTCGGGGAGCTCAGCCTCTCATGCTTTCCGTCTCGCTGGGGCCTGTCCATTTCTTATAAGGATGTGCCAGGTCACCTAAGGCCCTTCCCCATCTGGACCCAACACCCAAATAGCCTACCAGCCTTCTCTCCGGAGCGTCCTGCTACTCACACTGGATCCTTGTGACATAAAGATGGGCCCTGGTCCCTCCTGTGCTCAGATCACTTCATCGACATCTCTTGGCCCCTTCTATTTGGGAACAGCTCCTGATGGGTACAGCCCACACCTCTCAGGTCCTCCGGCCTCCACAACCCTGGGCACAGGGAAGAACATGCCTGTGTTCTTCAATGCAGCTCATCTTGTCAGGGTGGATGTGTCCTGTCTCCCAGTGCCACACCTGCCCCCGCCCCCCATGAGCACAGGGCTCAGTGGTGGGGCTCGCCAGTGTCCAGGGGACAGGTGAGCACTCAGAGCAAAGCTGGACAGTACACTTCGACTTGACGTCAGGAAGGTCCCCCTAGCCCACTACCCTTTGTCTCTGTGACGCTTTCTGGTTAGAGCTAATTTTAAAGAAGCCCCTCCTGCCCGCCTCCATCCACCATGACAGACCTAACGAGAGGAGAAGATGAAGCAGAGGCTGCCCTGTGCAGAGCTCTCCTCCGCTCCGAAGGGCAGAGGCCCCTGCCTCCCCCCACACCCCACCCGCAACTGCTGCTGGTTGGAAGACACCAGGAGCAGGAGATAGAGGGGCTGGCACCCCACTGCCCTGCAAGAGCTTTCAGGTGCATCACGAGGGGTGGGAAGCGTGTGTGGCACCTGCCTGAACAGCACCACGGGCAGTGGCTGCACCAGGTAGAGCGGGGTGGGCAGGTGGGCGGGCTCAACCTCCCCCCTCACAGGGCTTTGTTCTCAAGGTCACACTGCCCCGCAGGCCTTCAGCCACCACTGTGCAGCGCAGCTCTCTCAGCAGCTGAAGGCTCGGCTCCACTGCTGGGGTTTTATTAAAAGTAAGCAGACTAATCGCGACTGGCTCCTTTTTCCCCTCACAGCTCATGGCTTAGCAATAT